AAACTGGTGTGTATGCTGTCATCTAATACAAGCCAAGTTCTGTGTGTATTTTGGGGGGATGTGCACAGGAGTATGAAAGACTTGCATGAAAGAATGGGCATCAAACATCTGTTCGGTGACATACGTTTGTTGAAATTTACAATGATTTTCTTTTTTTTCCTCATTAATCTATGTATTGCTTGCATTTTATGAGATAGTGCTAACTTTATGATTAAATTAACAGTACTATAGATTTCATCATGATTTAAAAAAAAAAAACAACTTCACAGCTTTGCCTGTTTTAAATTCAGTACTTCATACCTCCTGTGTTACTTTCATGATAGCATAATAATTATGTGTATAATATTGAAGCTTAACAAAACTTGGTTTTCTAAATTGTAAAATTATTTTAGAAAGAATTTTCCATTAAAAGTTAAAAAGAAAACTATAAGTTTCAGCTTTAGTTATATAAGGTTCAGTCATTGAGACATGTTAATAAATTTTGGTTCACTTTTTGTCAATTATAAAATATTTAATACGTCTTGGTTCTCCAGTGCTGTTATAACAGACATACCACAAGTGGATGACTTCAACAAACGGATTTATTCTTGTAACAGTTTAGGATGCTAAAAGTCTGATTTCAAAGTGCTCACTCTAGGGGCTGGGTGAAGACCCTTTAGCATTGGGCTTTACCTCTGCCAACTCCATCCCAGCCGACTTGACACACAGCTGTAACTACTACATAATACTTTATAGGTGTTATCAAGAATGCCTAGGTTGAAGAAGTGTAACTTCAATCTGTACCTTTAAGAAAAAATAATGAGTTTCAAGGCAAGTTGAAGAGATTGCATAGATTTCCTTCTCTGATCCCACCCCACCCTCACATATGGAAATTATAGTATAAACGAGAAGTTAAAAAATAAAACCTTATAACAGAAATATCTAACAATGTCAGTGAAGTTGGGCTGCTGTATTTTTATACCTTATTTCAATTTTTTTCTTATTTTTCCATTTGTACTATTTAACTCTTCTTTTTATCTGGAATATATTGATTTCAATGACCCATATCTTATAATTCAGCTATGATTAAAAGGTGAGCTAATAACTAACACGGAGCTGGTACTCAGAAAATCTATTGGATGCTGTTTAGTTCTGTTTTCAGCTAAGTTTAGTTCCAGTGTGAATGGTAAATTCTGATCTGGCTGTGAACTTTTGGTGATTAACTATCTGGCATTGTTTTCAACTTGACCTTGTCACTTTGCCAATGTGTTCAGGTTCTCCTCGCAGCATTTTCCTTTTCACAGACCATAAAATCTGGTGATGTGCATTCCTGTTAGAGGTACAGTTTTCTCTAATGGCAAGTAGACTTATCACTGATTCTAAGTAAATAATTGAATATGTCTAATCATTAACCAAAATATTTTTCCATTAGTAAGAAGAAACTTCTCCTTTTTTTTGTGAACCTTTAGGACTTTAAAATAATTTTATCTCCTAACTCCTTTATAAAAATTCAGTAGTGAAGAAAATGAAGCTTGGCAGCAAAATGTAGTTATGGGCAGTCCCTCAGTATTATTTCTTCACATTACATTTGTTTATTGTATGTTTCAAAGTTATATATAGGAAGGCCTGCAAAAGCCAGAACCTGTGTAAGGCTTAATTGTTAAATGCTTCCTGAGCTATGTGCTTTGGGCCAGACCTATTGTAAGTGCTGGAGAAGCAGCGGGGAACAAGGTGAGCTCTTTGAAGCTTACGTTATAGTGGAAGAAGATAAAAAAAGAAAAATATCATTTAGTGGCAAGGGTTATGCAGAGGGTTGAAATAGGTTGATGTAGTAGAAAGTAACTTGAGGAGTAACTAGGATTAGGTAATCAGAGCAAGCCTCTCTGGGAGATACAGTATCCTCTGTGAAAGCTGGAACCTGTATAAGGTGGAAACCTGTCAGAGAAGGAAGACTCAAATGTCTTCCATTAAAACAAGTGATAGAAAAGTGGTAAGATTTCTCCCTGTTAGAGGTGGAAAACTTGTGAGATCCAAAAAAGCAAGACAATCCTGTTGAGTTCTGGCTCTCACAGGTTTCACTGTGATATAACACACATCCATGTGTTCACCACCAAGATTTAACCAAGTGCTGTCAAATTTTAGCTTTTATTAAATTTTCCTAAGGTATAAAGAAGCTGCCTAAGGTTTTTAGATACACAATGAACTTGGCAAGTATAGGACTAAGTATAGTTGGAACATGTTGAGGTTTTAAGGATGATTATAACTAACTACTGACTCTTAATAGGACCCCATCACCACCACCGTCACCCAAGAGAAAGCACAATCTTATAATTAAACCATCTTTTATCTATAACTTTAAGTTCTATATACTAATAACTATAATTTGCCTATTTTATTTAAAAGATACTTTAGAATAGACACATTGCATGTAATAATATTGTTGTTATGTGCCGTCGAGTTGGACCCGACTCATAGCGACCCCTCCTTGGGTTTCCGAGGAAGTATCACTATGGAAGTAGATTGCCCCATCTTTCTTCCGAGGAGTGGCTGGTGGGTTTGAACCGCCAGCCTTCTGGTTAGCAGTCAAGTGAATGTTTATGGAGCATGCACTGTATGCCAGGCACTGTGCCAAGTATTTTACAGATGTCAGTCCACTTAAGCATCCCAGCCAGTAACAGGTACTATTACTTTTCCCATTTTATAGATGTGTAGGCTGAAGGTCACGGAATCAATAAATGGCACGTTTCCTACTTTGAGCCCTGGTGTTGATTCCAAAGCCCATTTGTTTGGTAACCATTACCTTGGGCTGCCTTCCAACTAGCAAACGATTTGTAGCCTCTCACTAATTATATAAAATTCAGACCCAAAAATACTGGGTAACTCAGCCTTGACTAATGCAAGAGTAGAACTATCGGGAAACTATTAGGAACTCCTGAAGTACACAAAAACATAAAAATAGGTTTTAAGAATGCTAGTTAGAAAGGTTGGGCAATCTACTTCTGTAGTGATACCACCTCAGAAAACCAAGGAGGGGTCGCTATGAGTTGGATCCAACTTGACAGCAGTGAGTGAGTGTGAGTGAGTTAGAAAGCAGTAGCTTTCCTGCCCCCCCCCCAACAGTTTATATGGGAATTTGTAAGGACTTTGGCTATTCTATGCCTAGTGAGGAAATAAAGATTTGAACAAAGTAACCTAATCTGGTGTATGTTTTAACAGAATCCTTTTTACTGCTATATTAAGAAAGTACTGTAGGGGAACAGAAGGTCAAATTATCATGGAATCTAGACTTTCTGGAGCCATCTGGAGGCTGGATGGACCCCTGAAATTATTACCCTGAGATAAGACTAAAAGTAACCTCTGAAGTCCTCATAAAACCAAATAATAACTTAGCTTAAGTAGTAAAAAAATGTCTACCTTGACCATTACACTCTTTTAAGAACTATATGGGATCAAATTGACAAGAATAACTCAAAAGAAGATTAGAGAGGAACTTTAGAGGGTAGTGAATTTGTGTTAATGGGGGAAGAACAACTGAGAAAAAGAGGGTGAGAATGATGGCACAACTCAAAGAAGGTAATCAATGTCACTGAATTGTATAAGTAGAAACAGTTGAATTGGTGTATGTTTTTCTGTGTATATTGTTAACAAAATCAATTAGAAGGAAAAAAAAAAATACTGTAGGACACTGTGGAAGCAAGGAGTCCTGTTAAGAGATCCTTAAAATCATCCAGGCTAGAAGTGCCTATGATTTGGACTGTGTGGTAGCAGTCAAGGTATTGAAAAATGGCTGGATGTCAGATGTCTTTTATGGGATAGATTCCATGTGAATGGTGAAAGGGAGGAGACAAGGTTATTGGTCTGAACAAATGGAAGCATGTCTGGCTCTTTGCCGAGACAGGGAAGATTGTGAGAACAGCAAGCTTTCCGGAGTGAGGAGACAAGGCTTATTAGGATCTTAGTTTAGACATGTTAAGTTTGAGATGACCTTGGACTTTAAGTGGAGATGAGAACAGAGATCCAGGATGGAGACAGAAGTTTGGAATTCATCAACACGTAAATATTTAAAACCAAGAGAATAGATGAGATCATCAAGAGAGTAAGCATAGATTCTAAGGAGAAGACATCCAAGACTGAGCTCTGAGTCACACCATTGTTAGGAGAGAGATAGGAACCAACAAAAAAAACTGAGTAGCCAGAAGGTTATAATCTGTTGAAGGAGTACTGAAAGTGAGAGAAAGTATTTTAAAAAGAGGAAGGGTGATCAACACTGAATAATGTTGCTAATAGGAAGTCATGTAGAGGCTACTTGTAGCTTTGATAGCAATAGTTTCGGTATAGCAAGGAGTGGGAAAATGATTAGAAGGGTTCAACATAGGAGAAGAAAAATTGGAGACAAAATCTGGAATAACTTTCCAGCAATTTTGTTGTAAGAGGAAAGAGCAAGATGGCATGGCTGGTGGCCAGGGACACCGGCCAGCTTGCTGAGGCAGGATTGTCTTAGGGTTGCTGACAGTCACATGCATAAAGTGTGAGCATTAGCTGTTTGTAGAGTTAGTAACCTTTAAAGACTTTGCCATGTGGCTAGACATATAGGTTTTTGAGATGTTTGTTGATACATCAGTGCACATTAATACCTCAAAGAGATTAATCAGGCCTGCTCTCTTGAGGTATATATATCCTGTCTTTTCAACCCTGTACTTGCAATGTTTTCCGCAGATTCGTGTTTGAAAGTTAATTTTTAACTGTATTGCTTTTAAGTCCTCTATATTATAATGAGTTGTTTGCATATTAGTCTCCAATCATAGACTGAGTTTCTTGAGAACAATTATGGTTTGTTTTTCTTCCCTTGGTCTATCTCCCTGTACATGGCAGATGCACCACATTTTTTTTTTTTAAATAAATGAATGAATGACTATTTATTCCATTTTGATACATGGTATGTTTGACATAAAAATCAGTACCTTCCTGAAGTTTCATACTAATTTCTAAAAGGATTGTGTTTGGTCATTTGTTTTCCAAAGAGTTCCTGTGGAGCAGGCATAGTGAGGACAGGCTCATTGCAGCTCAATAGCACATCCTTAGGAAACTCATCTTTGAGAAGAACAAAGCGGAGAGCACCATCGCCACCCTCCAAAATGCCTCTGCATCAAAGTGACGAAAATAGTCACATGACAGGTAATGTTACTTTTCCTATTAACATTAAATGTGTTTAGTGTTTTGTTTAACCTAGACAGTAGAAATGACAGGTTATCCTTTTTTGTTTTTTCATTAAATAATTTCCTTAAGCCTTTTAGGCAGTCTCTAATTTTCACTATTGCCTTTTTAAGTCTGCTATATAACAACATTAAATGACAAATTGTACAGATCCATTTTCTTAAATGAGCATGTTATACTTTGTGAATTATTCAGAAAGATACTGCCAATCCAGGATTCGCTACATGTAGGAATAGAAATCTAAGTGGAGTTTAGTTTTAGTTGTATGAGAACTAGATAGTAAAATGGGGTTTACCCAGGTTGGGGCTCATTTCTTTACAAAATAGCTAAGTTAAACTATTAAAAGAATTATTTCATTTGAGAGTGTGGTTTGCTTATAAGCTGTGTTGTTTTTTCTAGCTCTGCAGTCAGTAGAAGTGGCTTCTACAGACAGTGTTTCAGAAACAAATTCTCCTGAAGGGTTATCAAGCCCAGGTATGAGACCTGCACCTAAACCAAAAAACCAAACTCATTGCCATCGAGTCGATTCCAACTCATAGTGACCCCCTTTGGGTTTCCAGGGTGGTAAATCTTTATGGAAGTAGATTGCCCAGTCTTCCTTCCACAGAGTGGCTGGTGGATTTGAACTATCAGCCTTCTAGTTAGCAGTCAAATGCCTTAGGCACTGCACTACCAGTGCTGTAATTACTGGAAAAGAAGAACTTGTATCACAATCAAGCATCTACTCCATTTATAATACTCTCTATGTTTAAGAAATACAGATCCTAAGGACACATTTCCCAGATTTTATATCATAAAATGAATTTTTTCCCTTTCTGGATGAAAGTATGAAACTGACAGAGCTCAAAATTTCAGTTCTGTAATAACACCTTAAGCAAATTCTCTATAAAGTATTTTGTTTTTTCTTATGCAATGTCAATTTAACATTTATTAACCTCCTTTCCCAGAGTAATAGGACATCATAGTTAGGAAGGTACTTTCGTGTGTTAAGAAGAAAACTTACATGAAAGTGTTAAACAGTCTGTCCCAGATACTGAATTCAACATACATGGTATGCACAAATATTTTCTATTATATGATTCTCACTTTCCAAATAAGTGAAATTTCAGTAAAAATTAAATATTTTCCTTAATGTTTTCAGTAATAGCTATTAGTAGCTATTATAAGTATGATAAAATTTCTTAATCCTTAGTTGAAGTAGCTATTAATGTAATAGACAAGGAATACCATATGAAAGAGATTATTATCACACCAGTACTTTAGCATGGGGATAATTTGATAGGTATGAAAATTGCTCAATATAACTTGACCTAATTTTTATAATTTATATTCAGAAATACAGGAAAAACTCAGGAATAACCAAATACTCTAGATATTTAATCATTAAGGTTTATTAATTTGGGATATTATTTTATTTTATTTATTTTTATTTTTAAGAGCTTGTTCTACATTCAACGTCATGTGTACATTTAGTTTCATTCCCCATTCGCCATGTCCAGCCCTAACCCAGTCTTCTCCCCTTCCTACCCTGCAACCCTTCCCCTGTGCGCCTCATAATTATGCACTCCTGTTTGTCCTGCATTTCCTCAGTTTGAATGTTGGCCTTCTGGTGTCCCATGGTCTATTGCTCTAAGGGATGTATTACCATTGAGTGTGTGGGTGCAGCATCCTGGGTTGTGTGGTCTGCATGTACATCTTGTTAACTGTTGGGCTGAGAGCCCGCCCCTGGGGGTGAGTTTTATTCCAGGCACCGAACGTATTTCAGGGCTGTAGTATTGGAAGTGTCACCAGATTTCATCTGACTAATTCTGATCATTATTGAGTTTTTGGATTTTGTTGCACGTTTTCCCTCCCACTCTATCCAGGATCTCCAGATTTGATCCTTTCCTGAGTGGTTGGCATTGGTAGCTGGGCACCATCTGGTTCTTCTGGTCTAAGGGCCATCGTGTCCTAGGGTTGATTGCTTCTAAATGCCCTTTGTGTGTGTGTGTGTGTGTGTGTGTTCTTCTTACTTCCGACACTAGCTGCATCTTAGATGGCTGCTTGAAAGCATTTAAGACCCCATAGCTACTCACCAATGTAGGATGTGGAGCAACTTTTATGTATTTTGTATTTTTATGCTTTTATGTATTTTGTTGTGCCAATTGAGTTTTGTGTACCCCAGTACTATGGTCCTGAGGTAGTAGATTTATTGGATCTCTCTCCCATTGTGTCAGGATGTCTGTGAGGGATTACTCTGCGTCTGTCTTCTATTGTTTCTATAAGTACTGCAGGTATTTTCTATCACTGGTGTCTGTACAAGATTAGCCTCAGTTGAGTTTATCCTTGGTCTAGAGTACACCTCTATTCACTGACCCCTGTCTGATCATCTCAGGTGTTTATGTGTTTATCTGTGTAGCCTAGTGTTTGGTGTTAATGGCAATGTGGTATTGTGGACACATTGGTTGGTTTTAGCATCTGTCGTCTATCTCTTATGTGCACAGTTCGGTGTCCTCTCATTTCCCAATGTTATCATGATGGTCATATATCCTTCCCATATATCCCTGCCCCTACCCATGTCAGGGTGTAAGCCCCAACTAGCCCTAAATTAATCCCTCCCATTCCCCCTCATCCCATTAACCTACTAGGTGAGTTCCCCTTCCCAAGCAAACCCTTCCCTGTCTTTTTACAGTAATGGCCTCATACAGTACTTGCCCTTCTGCGATTGACTTATTTCATACAGCATAATGTCCTCCAGGTTCATCCACGTTGCAAGATGATTCGTGTATCCCTCATTGTTCTTTAATGTGGCATAGTATTCCATTGTGTGGATATACCATAATTTGGTTATCCATTCATCCGTTGATGGGCATTTAGGTTGTTTCCATCTCTTTGCTATGGTGAATTGTGCTGCAGTGAACATAGGTGTACATATGTCTGTCCGTGCGCTATCTCTTACCTCTTTAGGATATATTCCTGGTAATGGAATTGCTGGGTCAAATGATACTTCTGTTTTCAGTTTTTAAAGGAAACGCCATACCATTTGCCACAATGGTTGTACCATTTTACAATCCCACCAGCAGTGCACAAGAGTACAAATCTCTCCACAACCCCGCCAGCATTTGTTACTATCTGATCTGTTGAACTCTGCTATTATTGCTGGAGTGAGATGACATCTCATTGTTGTTTTGATTTGCATCTCTCTAATGATTAATGATCATGAGCAATTTCTCGTATTTGTTGGCTGCTTGTTTATCTTCTTTGGTGAAGTGTCTGTTCAAGTTTTTTGCCATTTGTGAATTGGGTTATTTGTCTTTTTGGTGTTGAGGTGTTGAAGTTTTCTATAGATTTTGGAGATAAGTCCTTTGTCAGATATGTCATAGGCAAATATTTTCTCCGAATCTGTAGGTTCTTTTTTTTACCATTTTGACGAAATCTTTCAATGTGCACAAGAATTTAATTTTTAAAAGGTCCCAGTCATCTAGCTTCTCTTCTATCTCCTGCATATTCTAGGTTATACTTGACTGTAAATTTATGCCATAAATGAGGGCTCCTAGATTTGCCCCTATTTTATCTTTGATGAATTTTATAGTTTTGGGTTTTACATTTAAGTCTTTGATCCAGCTTGAGTTTGTTGTTGTGTATGGGGTGAGGTATGGGTCTTGTTTCATTTTTCTACAGGT